CTCATCGTTAGCCTGAGACGTTAATTAATTAGCGGGGCGCTTCCTTAAATCTTTGCCGTTGAGCAAGAGGGTTGATCAGCGCCGGGAAGCGGCGGGGAAAGGGATAATTCCTTCTTTTCCCTAACGGGATTTTTCCGGCCACGTAAAAAGGGTCATCCAAACCACAAACCACCGGTTTTAATCGCCCCGTTCCATTTTGGGAGGAATGTTGGTCGGGGCGGTGGGAAACGGTGAGATCGAGCCGAGCGCCGCGCGGATCACGCGATCCGAGTGATTTAACCCCCTTCCCAAAAAACGCAGGGAAGACGGGAGCTGCAGATTTATCCCAAGGGTCCTGCTGAGGGCCAGTGGGAAGAACGGCAGCCCAGGGGGACACCACAGCTCGCCCAGCCGTATGCCCGAGCCGGCAAGAAAATTCCAGGCAACCGCTTCAGGCTGCCTCGCCGGTGCCGAAACCGCCCGGGAGCACCCGGAGCTCCTGGAAAACCCCATCACCCTTGTTTCAAACCTCTGCGGGCATCCCGCATGGTGGAGGTTCACCCGGAGAGGGCGGGGGGCGCCAGGACAGATTCCCAGAGAAGCGTTGGATGCGCCATCCCTGGGAGTGCCCAAGGTCAGGCTGGATGAGGCCGATCCGGGAAATCGGCTCTCGGGAGCCTGGAGAGCAGATGGGCCGCTGGCGCCAGCCCGATCCTGCCCCGGCTTCTGTGCCGCCGCAGGCTGGACCTCTCCCACCCAAATCCAGGCGCGTGACACCCGGACAGGCAGGAATTTTGCCATCACATGCCAACTGTGTGATTATCCACGCCACGGGAAGCCGAATTCCCGCAGGCCCGGGAACGGGACTACAAAGAAGGTTCTTCTTGCGCCCCGCGGGAAAAACGAAGCCGGAGGCGCTGTCTGGGAAGGATATGAGACAACACAAAAGGCCAGGACAGGTTTGGATTCGGGAAAGGGATGCAGGTAATCCCAAATCAAAGCTACGATGGCGAAGAGGCAGGAGATTGTGCAGATGATGAGGCGGCCGTCGATCAGCCGGAAGTTTTCCACGTACTTGTACTTCTCCAGGAGAACCTGTGGGAGAAAACAGGCAGCCAAGTTGATTCTGGTGCTTTTTTCCTAAATCTGGTGCTTTTCCTAAATATGACAAAGTGTTTCCGGGAAGGATTTGGGTGAAATAATCTGGGAGGGAGGCTTCACGAAGAACTCATGTCCGCGGCAGCACCGGAATGCAAGAGATGCCACCGGCCTGGCTACACCCAAACCAGCTTCCGGAGTTTTGGATTAAACGGAGAAACCGGGAGCGTTTCCCAAGAGGGAAAACGGGGCAGAACGTACCTTTTTGGCAGAATCGTCCAACGAATTTTTCACGGCCGAACCGTCCCATTTGTCAATTTTCACCGGCTTGTCATCGATCTTCCACTGCAACGGAAAGCGAAGGGAGTCTGGCACGGCTTTGCTTCCCGCCGGGAGCCCAGAAAACACCCTGGGTTGGGAAAAGCCGACCCAGGAGGGAATGCGGACCTGTTACGCAGCCGTATCGCACCAAAGGTCACCTCAGCACCCACGTACCCAACGCCCCGGGTGGATCTCAGCGCGTTCACCCTGTCGCGGGCACCGAGGGGACCTTTTACACCCGTTTTATCCTGATTCCGATGCCGTGTTTGTTGCGCCTGCTGCCTTCCGAGACAGATGGGAGCAGGAGAATTTGGAGGCAGCT